CCATTTAGGTCTAATCTTATGTTTAAATGATGGTTTCTCGGATCTAATAGACGCATCATTAAAAGTGTTAAGCTTAAATAGATACAAAATTTAAATTTATATCAAATTACAAAACTAGAAAATTTTTAGGGATCTATTAGATACAATATATAAAAATCACGAGCTTACTAGACACAAAATTGGAAGTATAAGTGTCTATTAAGCATAAAAATTATTACGGAGATATGTGAGTAGGACTATCCTATATAATGAGTTTGTATAATTTTTGCTTATAAATCTGTTAAATTTAGAAGATTAATATTTCACAAGATGATCGTACGAGACTTGAACTGAATATTACACAAGATTAATAACATGGACTGTTACGATTTACTAAAAACGTTTTTTCATAAGCTGTTATAGATTGGTTGATTCGCTTGGCCCAACAAGTTTCACGCTTGAACTGAATATTACACAAGATTAATAACATGGACTGTTACGATTTACTAAAAACGTTTTTTCATAAGCTGTTATAGATTGGTTGATTCGCTTGGCCCAACAAGTTTCACGCTCTCGACTCTTACATACCCTTATGTGGGTTCGTTACGATGTGTAAAAAATGCTTCTTCATAAGCTATTATAGATTGGTTGATTCGCTTGACTCAACAAGTTTCACGCTCTCGACTCTTACTTACCCTTATGTGGGTTCGAGCGTTCTATTGAACACAACATCATCATGGTGAATCTCCCTTAGCTCTGATACCATTTGTTAGGAATCATGGATCTCTACCATGAGAGTCTAGTTTGAGCATAATCTCTCAACTTTGGGCTTCTGAAAAGAACCTCATACCAATCGAGATAGTATTCCTCACTTATAAACCCATAATCTTCCACTAAATTAACCAATGTGGGACTCACTCCCAATAATCCTCAACAATGACTTCATGTCATTCGAATTCCCAAGAGATTTGCTCATATTACAAAGTTCACGATCCCTAACACGTATGTCGTGGACCCATTGATTGCTTTAGCACCTTTGGTATCTTCCCCAACCAAATTATTTTGATTTTTGACAAAGAGACTTTGTAAGAATTTGCCTCCGCAGAAGAAAAAGAAGCCCGCGTGAGTTCGGTTGGCACACTACCGGAAGTAGAGGAAACTAACCGAGAGGCGGGAGGTTTGAATGAGTGACTTCCCGTTTTTACGTTAGTAAAGTAAACTGAGGATATAAGAAGTGAGGGAGAAGAGCGTAGCTTAGTACTGCTTTACTCAAGTTTTTTTTTTTTTTTTTTTTTTTTTTTTTTTTTTTTTTTTCGTGAACAAAAAAAGCCTGCGAAAAGTGCGAAGAGCTAAGTCACTAATGTTAGGTTTTATGTCCTAAAACTCATAGTTTATAAATAAAAACATATTCTATTTTCAATAAAGTTATTATGGTTGTTTATTCAGTAAAGATTGTTATTGAATAAAGTGACCAATAAACTAAGAACACTCTGGCTATAGTATAATTACTTGAACTATATGTAGAGACATAAGAGTGGATCAAGTTCAAGTATATAGTCAAAATGATCTATAGTATAAGGATAAGGCTGAGTACCTTATTCTGGGGACACTATGGATGCGGCCCACTTTTGTATATGATATAAACAATATGATCACTAAATTGTACATGTGGAGACATGTGAGTGGAGGCGTCCTATGCAATGAGTATTGCATAAGATCGGACCATGAAGAAAATCACTCTCACTTTATAATGTCATTTACTGTTGAGACTGATTTTCTTTTCATTCGATGACCTAGATAACTCGATCTTAATCCTGAGCTAACCATGAACTCCTGTTTATTCGGAATTATCCTTAGATTTGCATGGGTGAGAGTGGCTCGAGTTTGCCGACTCAATAGGCCTCCCATTTCAGGGGTAAGACTGGGTGAATAGCTGGGGACATGGGGTGCAAGATGAAATTCGCTCCTACCCACTTTTAGGGATAGAAGAGAGGTAGTTCCCTTAAGCACTAACTCCAAGTCTTGAACAAGGGGCCCCACCCTCTCATTGGCCTGAGAGGGATTCGGTTTACTGGTTGGACCACAAACCAATTGTTCATAAGAGGATCAGTGGAACATAAGGAACAAGAAGTAACTTCAGGGGTAAAACGGTAAATTGACCCAGCTCTAGTTACGAACAACCTGTGAAGGATCGACCTACTAATCATGGTTATATCAAATGGACAGAAATATATTTATAGTGAGGGGAGTGCAACTACTAGGCTATAGTGGAGTGTCCTAGTAGCTAACGAATGTTGGTTAACAAGGTTAATGAGTTTAACCGGTTAATCTTGGATCGTTGGAGTCCATGATCTATAGGTCCATTAGGTCCCGCTACTAGCTCATATCGGACTAAACCATAGAATAGTGTGACGAGTGAGTTCAAAGTGTTCGAATTCAAATTAAGGAATATGCGCTACATATATACGATATATTTAACCGCATTTTTGTTTTATTTACGAATTAAACAAAAAGAGAGAATCTAAAATATTTAAATAAGATTTAAATATCTTAATCAAATATGTGTCGGAGTTTGATTAGGATTGACATTTGAATTAATATTAAATAAAGAGTTGTACAGAACTCGGCTACGACCTATCTTTGGGGCGAAAGGTTTCTTTCTCGTGGTAGCTTCCAGTTTAGGGAGAAAAGTTGTCCATATTAATGGCTCACTACTTCTTCATTCAGAGGGATGAGAGACGGGACTCATTACCTCCCGAGCCAGACCCAAGTTTTAAAATTATAAAAAAAAAAAAAAAGTACTATTAGTTAATATGGCCTAATTAAAAATTTGATTAAAGATAAAATCAAGAATTTTAAATATTATCGATATTAAATTAATTATATTTAGACTTTTATAAAAAAAAATATATGATGTATGCCTTCCAGCAGGCGACGCGTGTGTAGCCCTGATGAAATTGAACGAAAAATAAATATCGCCGTTGCCGGGGATCGAACCCGGGTCACCCGCGTGACAGGCGGGAATACTTACCACTATACTACAACGACCTTGTGTTTTTCAAGTGTTTTTATTATTTATTTATTATATTTATTACAAATGTATGCAAAATAGATTTAAATAAAATAAATGTATGCAAAATAGTCCTTAATTTTTTTTTTTTTTTTTGGTTGTTCTTGATCTTTTAAAATTTCCCATTTTAATCCAAGGTTTTTTTTTTTTTTTTTTTTAATGAAAATTAAGAATATTTATTAATAAAATATTTAAAAATGGAAATATTATCGTATGTTAATTGAATCAATACGATGGATCGGGTTGAATTGAACTTTGAAGGGCAGATCTATGCTAGTATTCAAAATATTTAGTAAGTCTGGTCTAAACCAACCAAGTAAGTGACGTCACTACCGGTTTGGTTGGATAAATTTCTTGAAGTATGAACAACACTTTCCCTATGGTCCTTGCACATGTCGTACCATGTGGTTGTTCAATGTCACACACAAACACACACATGCAGTTAGCAAGTTGACCTTATGAACTCACCGATTATATGCTTCAATAATACAAAATTAATTAATTAATCAATTTAATCAATTTTCATTCATTAACTATAGATCACTCTACTATGGATCTAGAGTTGCACTCTTATGCACTCGAAGACAAATTATGTTAATTGATATAATCATTACAAGCAAGTCAATCCTTCACGAGTGGTTCATAATTTCAGCTGGATCAAAAGTTCTTTTATCTTCTTTAATTTTATCTTTCACCTTAAATACCACTGATTTTATTAATGAAAATTTTGTTTATGATCCAATCATAAATCAAAACCTATGGGGCCAATGAAAGAGTGGGCCCCATTATTCAAGTCTAGAAATTAGGGGTGTACATTCAACCCGACAACCTGGACTATAAGGATTGAGTTGGGTTGGATTAGTATTTTCGGTGGGGTTGGGTTCGTTTTTCTGAACCCGAACTAGATCGATTTGGTTTCGGGTTCGTGTGCAAAACTTTCGGGTTGATCCGAGGCAAATAAAAATATATAAAATATATTAAAAAATTTTATTCTATTAATGGATTTGTCAGGACGGTATTGAGGTTAGTCTAAGATACTTATGCTTAAATCTGATATCAAGCAAATACATATATATATTTTATTATTATTTTGTTTATATTATTTAATATATATATATATATAAAATTTTATATGTTTATTTAATATATTTGTTACTTTAACCATTTTTTTTATTATTTTGTTTATATTATTTAATATATTATATATATATATATATATATATATATATATATAAAATTTTATATGTTTATTTAATTACATGAGCTATCTTTATATTTTTGTTACTCTAACAAATTTTCAAGAAATGTCGGTATTTAGTTGTCTTGTTGCTTTAGCCAATTCTCAAGAAATGTCATTGTCTTTAGTTTTATGATAATGTTGAACATTGTTAATATGTTACAATTTTGCTCGTTGTGTCTTTATTGATTTTTTTTTTTGTCAATAATTATAGATTGATTTGTGTTTGTTTGTGAAATTTTAATATATTTTATCTAAGATTGTATCGGAATAATTAGAAATTGTGAATAAATAAAACTTTTAAAAAAAATTTGACAATCCAACCCGAAACTAGAGGTTGGGTTGAGTTATGAAAAGTTTCGGGTTGGGTTAGGTTACCAATCCAACCAACCCAAACTTTTGGGTTGCGTCAAAAAAATCCTCCAACCCGATCCAACACGGACCATGTACACCCCAAAAGTCAAAAGTTCGGGTTGGATTCATTTTTGATGTGGAAAGGAGTGAATTTTTCCATGTCTTCATAACTTTTTTGGGTTGGGTTGGATTTATTATTTAATAAAGATTATTTAAGTTGAAAATGTTACAACTCAAACACTTGGGTTGAGTTTAAAAAATATCTCGGTTCGCACACATACTCTTACTCAAAATATTTTTATTGGACAAACGAGCTTACATACATCGGAAGGAATAGAGATAATGATGCATATGACCAAATTAAAATACAGGCGAGTAAATAGGTGTAGAATCAACGTTGAACATGCCGTAACAGTGTGACTCTCCAGACTTTTCCTTCTCATTAAAAATACTCCCAATGAACCCTTCAATATAAATATTTTTCTTTTTGGGCGTCCCCTTACTGGAGCTAATATGACTCTTGAAGTTCCGATTGTACTTCGATGCAAGCAACGGTGACGTAGCGTTATTATTCCCACAAGCAGGCCAACCAGTTTCTCCAACAACAATGCCCACATCTCTAACATTTGCCTTATCTATCGCTACATAAAACGCGTCCACCATTTCATCAAACAAGTTATTATAACTCAACATCCCATCGTGAACCGATGAGTTTTGTTCACTAAGCGTCGCATAACCCAAGCTTATATTACCACCATAAACATATCGATTATACATATTTAGGCTAACCATCAAAGGAGACCCTTGTCGTCCTAAGAACTTGAGAATTCCTCTCATGTTCTCAACAATAGTTGGGTAGAACGCACCGCTGGATGGAGGGTTTGTGACAGCCAATGATTTGAAACCAACTAATGTGGTGAGTTTCACTCGTCCGAGGTAGTGAGCGTTGAGGAGATCTTGAAGGGATTTCATGACAGGCAATATGTTGCCGTCGAGGCCGGGGATGGCCTTGTCACCGACAACGATGTAATTGATAGTGTAATCGTCAACGTAGGGCACAATGTAGGTCGCCATGTTTGGTAACATGTCGTTGGGGACACCAAAAGAGATGCCGATTTCTATGCCACGAAACGCTTCTAAAATATCGAGGTTTGGAACTTTCAATCGAACACGGGAAATGTTGTATTTTAGATAGAGTTGCACCACTAACGATGGGGATGGTAAGTTGTCACCTTCAAGGCCGTAGTAGGCACCAAGAAGAACAACGTATGCTCCAACGACCGAAGACATGGAAGCCATGAAGAGTCCAATCATGTGGGAAATGTTAACCATTTTTTGTGGTCGTGATTTTAAAAGTGGGAGACATAATCAAAAGAAAAGAGTTATATATAAGAGATTAGGAAGGGATAGGATAGGATAGGATGACCTATAACAATTCCACACCGTTTTCTCTCCCATTTATCATTACTACATATATCATATTTGATATTTTATTGTATGACAAATATCTACATATTTGTCTTGTTACCGTAGGTATTTTTATCTTTATTGTTATTTCCATTTATTACTCTTTCCATATCATTGTAATTTATTTGATTATAAATAGATAACTTTCACACCATTTAGGTGCGGTGCATTAAGCAAACATTCTCATCAGCGTTCGACAATCATACCGAGAAAGATAGATAAAACTAGGGGTTCATATGACTAGAGAGTCCAACCAATTCAGATTATTCCACTCAAATGATAAAGGTAAGGTTAAGTTAGACCTTTTCAATTTGAGTAAGTTGATATTTGAGTTTTATGAGATTTTAGTCATTAATATAACACATACGATAGATAAGTATGATTTTTTAAGAATAATTATAAAAAAAAACAACCCGGCAACCCACATGAAACTAAACGATTTAGTTGGGTTAGGTGGTGAACTCAATTTAAGCTGCTCGGATCACAAACTAACAAATCTACAAAACCTGGCTTGGATTTCGTTGCGATTTCACTCGGGCAATACAATCCTTCATAGAAACTCTAATCTCAGGATCCTCATCAGCGTTCTTTTTGAAAATATACGAAATCTCGATAAGCCCATCGACCTTCTACAGAGATTACCTTTGGAATCTGGGGGCCACACTGGCCTCTTTGCAAACCAAGTCGTCGCCGCCATTCTCGCCAAAATTGGCTCATTCGCCTACTGTAGCGACTCTTCCGGCTTCAACATTGTCTTTGTCCCTTGCTCTAGGTTTCCCCTTTTACTTCTTGGGTTAGACATATTCTCACCAGAGCTAAGGCAGCATTGTTGCTGAGCGACAATCCCTCTTCATTGGTTACACATATTCTCGACCAAGTCAAGGCAGCATCGCCGTTGAGTGATGTTTCCTCTGCAGTTTTCGATGGCCAAGAATGTGTTTCTCTACACCTCCTTCGAACCAAGTTGTCGACATCTTCATGAAAAGTGTTTCTCGACTTCTCTTTGATTTTTTCAGATCCAAGCTTCACGTTCATTCATGTAACGACCCGAAATTTTCTACTTAATTTAAGGTCGCTACTGTATATGTACCATAAACATTGAATGCGGAAGACTTCATTTAAATTCCATAAAACATAACTTTTAACTTAAAACACAGCCATGGACTTAAGTGTTTCGAAAACATCTTTAAAACGACACAACAAAAACTCGAAATAAAATAAACAAGCGTGTAAGTTTAAAACATCATATTCTATCCTAAGTCTAAGAAAATAAATGCCACTATCCTATGCATGTGCCATGATCTCGAGTTGCGATGTCGTCGTCAGCCGTACAGGAATGCCTTGCCTTAACCTGAAAAATGTAGTAGCACGTGGCTTGAGTATTTAAAGAAATACTCAGTAAGTGACCCCACTATTGGGGTTAAATGCAACAATCACATGCAATGAAATGATGGGACCTATCTTTCGTTTCATTTCGTTTCGTTTTCCCTACGGTGTAATCCTAACAGGTAATCGTGGACGTGTACCATATACTCTACACGCAGCCCATACGTGCGAGTATGGGCTCACCAACTAGTTCGCACACCGCTGGGCCATTGTCCCTAGCCGGTGGGCATGCTCTGGGGGCCCACCGGGACCCGTTAAAACTAAAACCATCACGGTAGCGCTATGCAGGGCATAACGATCGTTGTCCTGCCATTTGGATGTACGCGTCCATACCCTCGTGATGGGATAGGGGTATCCCCCCAAATGTATGATCACACGATATGCATGAGGTCCCACTAGTCCTACAGTGATCATTTAATGAACATAACCCCGTGTCACGTTTTCATGCTTACGTGTCATTCTCATTCTCATTTCGTTACATATCATACATATTCCTAGTGGGGTTATGTATCATGCAATTTACCGTATTTCATGTCATACAATTCATTCAGTTACATTTCAATACTCATACAATAAGCCAAAATCGTACACGGGCCACACATCGTCACATGCATTCATATCACATCAACTAAGCAGCATAAATAACATACATTCACGTTCACATGATTTCGTACTTAAGCACCATAATCTAGCATACAATGTACCATATCATAACCAAGTCAATAACGTAAACACTTCATAGTCATATTGTTCTCTAACTTACCACAGCCTTAACGTTCTTATACCTATCACAGACATATCATTACGTGACGTACCTTAGTCATATCGTCACAAGAACGTACTCTAATGCTATCGTTCCACCAATCTATCACAAACCTATCCCTTTCTACCTATAACCTAACCGTATTCTTTCATCAATCTCTCCTATCCATAGCACTCCGGTATGTAACCTAACTCCAACGTTTCATGAACGTATCTTACTCCTATCGTTACATTTCGTTTTGTGCGTCCTTCTCGTATCCTATCTCAAACATCTCCTAGAGTACATCGTACCATAATTATTATCATACAATCCACGTATTATAACATAACATAACATATAGGAAGCATATCGATCCACAGACAATTCACACATATCAATATATATGACACGTGCCACACCACAGGGCACGTGTCAACATCAAATATAACCATGCCGATAGTAAGGTCACTTACCTGGCTAGCTTAAGTCGTTGTCACGTATATATCCTTACTGAAAGTTCGATTCCGTCCTTTGAAATCCAAGTCAACCTATGTGAGCCCATGACATCAGTTTCAAGTTTGAACTCTATACAATTATTTCTCTAATTTACCTTGTTAAAATTCTGATATTTACTGTTAGACAGAATTTTATGGAGTTTCATGCCTTTGATATCTCCTTATATTTTTAAATTCTGTTTAGCAAATCTTCCCTCCTCTCTCTTTGTAATTATTTTCATTCCCATTCTGTAAACATCTGTAAATAAGATATTACTCTAATTGTATATTTATTTTCATTCTATAAACAGATATTATTGGCAAATTTTAAGATATTACTCTAATTCTATATTTATTTTTATTCTGTAAACAGATATTATTGGCCAATTTTAATTGGGTTATTATCTTACAGATTTATGGATCTGCCAGCTAAAATTTTATTGATCTACCTTATTTCCTCTAACTTCCCATGCTAACAAAAATCTAGTTAATTGAACATAGGATCTGATTATTACATACGGTAAGATAGGAAAGAAGATTTGATCCTAAATTAAATTCTTATAACCATAACTAAATTAATTTCTTATAACCATATTAGAAAAGAAAAATCTGAGATAGAATTTTACGTAATAACTGACAAAAATCTCTAAATCTGCAATCTATTGAAAGCCATTTTACTTCTCAAATTTGACCTTTTTCTGTTTCTTTCTTTTTTTGTGCAAGGTTTTCTGTTTCTTTCTTTTTTTTCAGTCGGCTTAAGATGGGTAGAGGAGAGATAAGTGTGGGAATGGATGAGAGGTTAGTGGAGAGAGGTGGGGAAAGATTTTTTTTTTCTTTAATTTTAATTTTAATTTTAATTAATTAATTAATTTATTATTATTATTATTTTAACTTTTTATTTATTTCTTTATTTATTTTTGGGCTATTACAGTTCAAATCCGACGCTCAGCTTGTGGGGTGTTAAGGATATTTAGTACTAAATTGTAAACTATATCATATTCGATATTTTATTATAAGGCAAATATGCCTGGTTACTGTAGGTATCTTTACTTTTATTGTTATTGCCATTTATTACTCTCTCCTTATCCTTATAATTTATTTGATTATAAATAGATAACTTTTATACCATTTAGGTGCAGTGCATTAAGCAAACATTCTCACTTCTCGAACAACAACCTTAAGGTATCAAAACTAATAGACACAAGCTGTCGTGTTGTTGTCTACCAAACCTGGCTTGGAAGTCATTGCAACTTCATGTTGGAAATATTTAGTGGCTGCCAATAGTTGTTATATCCTTTTAGGGAAGTTCGACAATTCATACAGAGTAAGATAGATAAAACTAGGGGTTCATATTACTAGAGAGTCCAATCAATTCAAATTATTCCACTCAAATTATAAAAGTTAGGTTGAGTTAGACCTTTTGGGTTTGAGTAAGTTGATATTTGAGTTTTATGAGATTTTAGTCATTAATATAACACATAAAATAGATAAGTATGATTTTTTAAAAATGATTATAAAAAAAACAACCCGGAAACCCACATGAAACTAAATGGTTTCGTTGGGTTAGGTGGTGAACTCCATTTAAGCTGCTCGGATCACCAAACTAGAAATCTACAAAACCTGGCTTGAATTTCGTTGCGATTTTATTCGGGCAATATAATCCTTCATAGAAACCCTAATCTCAGGATTCTCATGAGTGTTCTTTTCGAAAATATACGGAATCTTGATAAGCCCATCGACCTTTTGCAGAGATTACCTTTGGAATCTGGGTGCCGCACTGGCCTCTTCGCCAACCAAGTCGTTGCCCCCATTCTCACCAAAATTGGCTCATCTGCCCACTGTGGCAACTCTTTCGGCTTCAACATTGTCTTTGTTCCTTGCTCTAGGTTTCCCCTTCTACTTCTTGGGTTAGACATATTTTCACTGGAGCTAAGGCCGCATAGTCGCTGAGCGACGATCCCTCTTCATGGGTTAGACATATTCTCGCCGAAGCCAAGGCAGCATCGCCGCTGAGTGTCGATTCCTGTACAGTTTTCGATGGCCAAGAAAGTATTTTTCTGCGCCTCCTCCAAACCAGGTTGTTTGACATCTTCATGAAAAGTGTTTCTCGACCTCTATTTGAATTTTTCAAATCCAAGCTTCACATTCGTTCAATTCTGATGCTCAACTTGTGGGGGAGTTAAGGATATTTAGTACTAAATTATAGTTTACCATATATATCATATTTGATATTTTATTATAAG